ATGGTAGTGAGCTAGACTACGGGTGTTGGCACGAACTACTAGGAGTGATCGTAGCTTTGCTTGGTTCCTTAGCACTTGCGCATTCACGGGAGAAATTGGCAAGAGTTTCCACTAGCAAAGTTGGAATTACAGAATGATCGTACAAGCAATGACAGAATGGACTACATCAGGCACCTAGCAACTCTGCAGCTAGCCTGGTCGACCGCCAGCACTGCATGGTCGACGGCCTGCTAGCGTTGCGTAGAGGAGCCGCGCCAGCACTGCAGAAGAGCGACCTGCCAACACTGCAGGTCGACGGCGTGCCAACGCTGCAGCTGTGCGGCTGTCCAGCGTTGCCCCGTAGAAGACAGCAGTGCGCATGCTCGCAGGTGCGCGCAGACGATTGGCCCGACTTGCCTTGTTGGGCATCCGTCGGCTGTTGTCTGCGCCTGACGAGCCACATCGACTTCGGGATACCATTCCGAAGTCGCCTTCGTCATCGCGATCTCGACGACGTTCGCGTGCCTCCGCAGAACTCGTCGAGCAGGTTACCCGGTCGATCCGGACACCATCAAGTGCTCCGGTCGACCACCAGTGCCTCCGGTCGACCACCAGGTGCCTCTGGTCGACCACAGCTCCCGTCGAGCTACCCCCTGGTCGACGGACCCCTTCCGTCGACCAGAACTGCTCCGTCGACCTCCCGGTCGAGCTGCAGGTCGACGGGATGCTTCGCGGACCTCCCGGTCGAGCTGCAGGTCGACGGGATGGGCCCAAGTCCTCCCGGTCGAGCTGCAGTTCGACGGGATGCTCCAGAGACCTCCCCGTCGAGCTGTAGGTCGACGGACTGCTCCGTCGACCTCCCGGACGGCCCACCCATCGCCCAGGCCAGTCAGTTGCGCCCGTCGAGCACCCCTGGTCGACGGAAGCTCCACAGTGACATCCTGCAGCTCGACGAAGCCCGTCGAGCAGCTCCTTCACTGCGAACGGTCGGCTGCTTCACCCGTACATCCGACCAAGTCGTCGGCGTTGCCCAAGCGAGGGCGGGGCGAACACTCCATTCCCGTTAACATACCCCACTATAGCCTACACAGAACTAGCACAGATATAGTTTGACACTCACCTCTCCCAAACCCCAAGTCTAAGGCAATACACTGCTATCAGCTTCTTACCACATTCATGCGCCTCTATTATTATCTCGTACATGTGTGTCTGCTTGGGACTTTGCCTATAATGTTGATAGATGTGAATTTGGTGAAGTTGCGGCACTGGTGGGTGCTGCACGTTGCTATATTTTCCGCCAAAATCGCACATATACATCTGGGTGAATCTTGCTGCCAATTCGAATTGAGGAAGAGCTGTTGTTGTTCCTGGATAACTACAAAACCCGTTCGGAGGTGGAAAAAATAGGTCTCACAACACTTCAACTTCTAAAAAATATCACGAAGATGCTTCTTCAAGTTGGACCCAACTAGAAGGAGGGCAGAAGGTCATTATTCTAGCTACGAGCTTCAAACGTGAAAACTTTTGCAATCTTAACTGGAAGAAGATGTGGTCCAGGGAAATCCATCCTAAACACGACACGGGTTTCACAGTAACGGCTGATCCATCCCAAATTGCATCCACGTTCCCTACGGGTTTTACATTTCCCGGCGGAAGTTTCGTATTGTTACATTTCACGTGATTTTCCGGCGGAAGTTTTGTATTGTCACAAAATGCATGAGGTGAAACCCCAAATGACTCAATAAGTGAGTCCACTTATGCGTGAATGCATGGAACCACTTATGACTGAGTGCATAAATCACGGTATTACTGAATGCGTAAAACCACTAGAGCCGTAATTAGTCATGTTGCAAGTTGGTTGTGGAAAAAGGGGCCGAGCGCCAAATCAACTTGACTCATGCAGCAACGGAGTTTTGCAACATGTCCTTACAAATATAGTGAACACAATACACTCTTATTAATATACATCGGATTTTTTTTATGAGATAATATGGGGCCCCTTTTCCGAGAAAAGGGGAAAAGGGCCATTTTTACTTTGTGACATGACCAAACGCCTTCAGAAAATACACCTTGGTTGTCTCCATAGTGAATTTGGATAGTGGATTCTGGAGTGGAAAAGAACGGTTGAAGGTGATTAGCTTAACGTTCTGTATGGTTTAATAGGCATTCAAATAAGACAGGGTCAGCCAGCCAGTTCCGTACACTATAGTATAGCGAGAAGTTTGGTGTACATTCAACCTGGGTGGCCAGGTATACTTTCACCTGAATCAGATCATTCTTTTCTCACCTCTCATGCCACGCAAATCAACAACGCTGGTCAGCGAGGGTCAAGCTGTTATGGAGGAAAACAACAACGCGGTCATATGGTGTGTACTGTGGGACAAAGCATGCGACGGTGATTCCAAAGCGTACACATTGCGATCATTATTGACATTTAGATTGTATTCCAACGCAGGGACACCATGCGAAGTTGGGACAATTTCCGTGTTGCATGGCTATTTCTCCTAGTTCAACGTCAGTACACCTACAAACGATGCTCTGAAAGTTGCAATTATAAAATAAACACACGAATTTCTTAGCAATGTCAGTACACCGCTCGTCTCAAGTGTCAGTCAGTCGAGTAGTGCGGCTGAGTGAGTTCATCTGACTCGCATACTCCGCTCGTCACCCGACACATCGAGACTAGCTACTTCTGACGCAAGATTGGGCATGAGATGTTTTCCAGCCTTTCAAACTACGGGGTAACATCTGACGTAGACTTCCATTCGAAAGCAAATATAAAAATAAAAAAAAACAACCAGGTGTCCCTACTTCGGTTGGTGTCCCTACGTAGGAATACACTGTCACCATTTGTTCCTCCTGGCTTCGACGTGGTTCTTCGTTGTCGCCTCTCTCTCGTCTCGTTCCGTCTGAATGGTCCGCTCTGCTTCCCGTCTGCCCAACCAGTGCCCCTTGTCGAGCAGCACCACCATCCATCCGTATGCCATCCCGCCGCTGCAAACATCCCAGGACCACGTTGACGGATGGACGGCTGTAAGGGACCAGACGAAGCGAGGCTTCCCAGGTGCGGTGGAACCGCAAATCAGATCAACCCCGATTCTGCAGTTATGCCACTGTATTTGGCTGAACCACCTTCCTGGCATAATTAGGTGTAGCATTGCAAGGATAGTAAACTGAGGAAGGTCTTTTGTCAAAACTTCAGTACTGATGACATTATAATTAATGAGAAAAATAAAGCTGGAAATGAGCAGAAGTCAACCAATCTGATTTATTTTCTAATCATGTCTAAATAATAGAATAACAATGTGATTTACGTATCTTATTTGACATACTGTTTCAAACCAATAATATCAAAAGTACAGAATCACATAAACATGTATTATGTTGATACTTTTAATATTAACAAATAGATTTTTTTTAAAACTAAACTGATTTTTCTAGAAGATGAATAAAGCCGAAAATGAAATGATTTAAGATTTGTATATTAGTAAAAATTCAAAATTTATTTTAATAGGTAATTTGGCTATATATCTTAAATATCAAATGCTAAATGGTTTGATATATGCATCGAAATATAAAGAAGCAAGCAATACATTATAAAAATATTTATATTATTTTATATGCTAGTTCTTTGTATTGTATAAAAACCAGGATATAATAATATTCGGTTTAATAAAATCCTTATAGGACACAATTTGTTTACGATATGAAAGAAAATAATAGTATATAGTTATTCGGTGCACAATAATACTTACTTTAAGAACGAGATTGGCTGTCCAAATGTTACATTGATTGCACTACTCCATAATAATATATAAATTTATGAAATTGCTGCATATTTTGTTTTGCACCTCAACCAATGAAATGGACTGGGAATCAACAGGTGTGTTTAGTAAAGAAATCAGGTAAACTTGGTCACTGTGTCTAGATTTTTTTTTTTTTTATTGAGTCATTCATTTGCCAGCTGACGAGTTCATTCTACTTGTAAAACCAAATTGGTAAATTTCTCGAAGCTGGTGATGTCCCCATGCAGCCCACCTTCTCTCTTGGTGGAAGCAATCAGCTTTTTCTACCGCAGCGGCATTCGGAGTCAGCCAACTAAACTCTCCAACTCTCCCGTCCCGACTCGAACTACCCCAAAACACTTCCCGTCGCAACCGGTAGGGGGTGAACGAGATTCGGCTTGTAGCATGCACCTCGTACACCCTTGTTCTTGATAGACTGGCATATGTTATACTGACAGAGACGCTTTTTGTAGCCGCACGGGACCAAAGAAGGTCCTATCACATGCGTTATAGTGACAATTTGACTCAAGGCGGTGAGTCAAGGTTTAAAACGTTCTGGAATGGTACTGATTTTTTCAAAGTGGTTAAGACGGATATTCAGCGTTAACGATTTTTTGTTTGCCCAAGTCCTGCTTCCTCGCCTCGTGCGACTTTGCCCGCAACCAAGTTATCTCACCAGCCCGCTACGTCCAAACACTGTAGCCAGTGCTTCCGCCGGTGAGATGAGTGAGAACGAGGGTGTATTTTGACACCTTGAAGTGGCCAAAACTCGCGTTTTGATGAAGCTCGCACCGCCAATCACATCACTGTAGAGTAGCTCTGCCTCACATGAGCGGTCCGTAAGAACGAAACGAAAACTTCTCCTCTTCACACGCCTTCGCTCCGCGTCCCGATCCATTCCGCCATGGATTGTTTCCACGTTCTACGTAGAACGGCAAGCCTCATGAGGCCGGCATAGGACACGTCAGCTCTACTAGTATTGTAGATACTCGCCTGCGGGGTCTGGGAGCGCTTCGCTCGACTGACGAAAGTTGAAAATGCACTCGAGTGGTCTTTCGAAAGTTGAAGTTCGCACTGCGATGCGAAATAAGATGCGAGTTGCCGTTGCCACCGATCCAAACCGTTCTCCGCACCTCGATACTGCCCTTTAACGTAGCCAAACCGAAGCTCTCCAACTGGCTTGCGTGGGATTCATCTGCCCATCGGCCCAGTTAGAGTAGCCGAGGCTTGCCCTTCATGCCGCCCGCTACCCTTTCGTGCCAGCCCGCGGCGGGTCTCCCTTCCCCTCACCCGCCTGCGCATCCTCTATCCCGCCCGTCGTCCCCTCCCCCCGTGCCCACCCTTCCGCCTCCGCCTCCGCGCACCACGCGCCCATTCGTGCTGCAGCGCCCGCGCACGCCGGACGCGACATGGGGGGGCGTGCGCACGGCACAGTTCGGGGAAGCGGGGAGTCTGGGTTACCGCATGATGTTCGCGGACGGTGCGGGGAGGCTGCTGTCGCCGTGGCACCACATTCCGCTGTACGCGGCGTGCGACACGCTGGTGCATTTCGTGTGCACGACACCCGTGGCGACGTGGGCGAAGATGGAGATCGCGCGCGACGAGGACTACACGCCTCTGCGATTCGCAGCGTCAGAGATGCAGGTGCAGCTGCTGCAGGGTAGTAACGACAACGCATGCGACAACGGCGACGGAAAAAACCGCGACGGCGAAGTCGACGGTGACGACGAATTCGCCGCGCCGCTCTCCGGCAGTCCATCCGCCACTGTAGCACGGGACGCGCGTAAGCGCGCAGCATGCGAGGCGGTAGCACTAGTACCAGCGCATTACGCGGGGAACGTGCTGTGGAACCACGGCGTGTTGCCGCAGACAGTCGACGAGTCTACACTGTTCCGTGCGCCACCCTCCGACACCCGCTCCGCCTCCGCTTCCGCTTCCGCTTCCGCCTGTCCCGCACCCGTCAATCGTTCCGCCGGACGCCCCCCTGCTTCAGGAACCTCTGCGTCCCGCGATCCTAGCGTCTCCGGCGGCGCCGGCTACGGAGGAGGAAGCGGAGAAGGAGGGCAGAGAAGTGATCGAACTAGTTGCAACAAGCAGCGGCAGTCCGCAGCGGGAGGGGACGGGGGTAAGCGCTCGGGAAAGAGCGGGTGGGGTTTCAGAGGCGGTACCGGGTTGGGGAAGGCGAAGGGACGAGCCGCCGAGAGTGTGGAAGATGACGTGGCAGCAGCGGATGATTGGTCGTGTGAATTACCTGACTCGCGGCTCGGTTGGCAGAGACAACAGGATTTGGAGCTATCCTTGCTCGAGCGGTTCGAGATGGAGCGATTCGCTACAAGCAGGTCAGACGACCACGGACCCAACGGTCCTGACTCGCTATCAGCTGCTCCGATTGAGGTCATAGAAATCGGGCAGCAGCCGGCGCGGGTTGGGCAGGTATACGCGGTGAAGCCGCTCGGCGCAATTCCGTTAGTGATTAACGATAGGCTGACGTGGAAGCTGATAGCCGTTTCGGGAGACGATCCGTTAGCGTCGAAGCTAGAAAGCATCGAAGACCTTCCGGCGGTCCTGCCGGGGACACTGGAAATGCTGCAGGAGTGGCTTTTGGTGCGGGATGACAGTTCCGCGGATCAAGGCGAAGCAGCGGATTCGTGTTCGGCCGATCGCGAAGGTCACGATCATTTCTGTGCGATAAAAGAAGATCAAAGGGATCGACGAAGCCATGCGGGCGATTCCTCTCCCCAACCTTCTTCCCGTCCGTCACCTCGCGCTCGCGCTCGCCCTTCGTTCCGGACAGTTCTCCGACCGTCGCCGCGTCCTCGGCTCCCCGCGCAAGCCGTGTGCGGATCCGCGCATGCGCTTGCGCTGGCGGCGCAGGCGCACGCGTCGTGGCAGCTTTACTTTCACCTCAACGCGCACCCCGAACCATGGCTGCCCGAATGCGAAATTTTCCACTCGGGCATCCTTGAACGAATCTGGGCCAAGTACACGCAGGCGGGGCCGCGGGGGGCCTCCGCGGAAACAATTGCCGCGGCAGCAATAGCAGCAGCAGAAGCATGCGAAGGAGGAGGCGGGGAGTCGAATCAGCAGGCGAAGGGGGGAAATGCGCGAAGTAAAGAAAGAGAGGATGAGTTGCGGAGCGGGATTGCGCAATTGCTCCGCGTGTCGCGTTGCGCGCCAGAAGGTCACAAATTCCAGTTGGTTGTGGAGCTGGCGGGGCAGGAGAAGGTGGGCGTGGGGGGCACCAAGGGGAGGACGCGCAGGCGGGGGCGCGGGCACGGGGAAGGGCCGCGCGCGAGCTTGAATGGGCTGCGTGTTGCAGTTACCGGAATTTGGAACAGTCACAATAATAAGAGTTGTAACAATAGTAACAGTGTTGTAAACACTAACAGCAGCGGCATGAAGGCGAGGAACAACATGGTTGAGAGCAGCAGCAGGAGCGACAGGCACGTGAAAGGCGGTGGCGAGAGTGACACGGCAAGGTTGCTGACGCAGGGGGAGCAGGAGAGGGGAGGTGGGGAAGCGAGCGCAGGCAATGGCGGTGTTATTGAGCAGGAGGAAACGAGCCGAGAAGATGCTAGTGGTTGTGCTGATAGCGCTACTTCTGCTCCTGATTGTGCTGCTGCTGCTGCCGCTGCTGCTGCTTCTGATGGACTCCCCGCTCACACAAGCAGCCACACCCGCCGCAGCAGCAACACCAGCAGCTGCAGCACCATCAGCACCTCAACGAACAACAGCAGTAGCACTATCATCAGCACCATCATCGCCTCCAGAAACTCCCCTTGCAGCAGAAGCAGCAGCGGCAGCGGCATTGGGAGCGGGGTTGGGTTTGGGCATGGAGCTGGCATCGGCAGCAGCAGCCGAGCATGGAGCACGACCGGCAGTGGGAGGAGCACGGTGGGAGTAACAAGTGAGGCGAGCAGCAGGTGGAGCGCACTCAGCAACGGCAGCAGCAGCAGCAGCGGCGGCGGCGGCGGCGGCGGCGGCAGGACGAACGTGAGAGGCAGCAGATCGAGCACCAGCAGCAGCAGCGGCGGCGGCAGCAGCTTTGGATGGAGCAGCATCAGCAGCGCCAGTGCCAGTGACGGCAGTGGGAGAGGGCTGGCCGGTAGGAGCGGTGGTGGGGGTAGCGGCGTGCTGGCTGCTGCTGAATTCGCCTTTTTGGAGCCCTTGGGGTTGAACGAACCAGCTTCTGCTCTTCAAAGGCTTCCCAGTGCGGGTGTGGATGCCGCAACTACTGTCAGTGCTGAAGGGCCGGCCCGTCCTGCTGTAACTGGCAATGCTGTTGCTGCCAACACTGCTGCCAGCACTGCCGCCAGCAATGCCGCCAGCAATGTTGCCAGCAGTGCTGTCGCTTCTACTGCCTTTTCCGTCCCAAACACCAACCCCTCTTCCGCCCTGCCGCCTCGCTCCCACCTGCCCATGTCCCACCCTGCCACCCCTCTCCCGCGCACCCCATCTGTCCCACATAGCCCTTGCCCCTCCGCCCAGCCCTTCATTCCGCCGTATCCCCCCGCCTCCTCCTCTTCCCCCTTCTTCCCCTCCTCCCTCCCCCCCACTTCGCCCCCCACTCTCCCGCGCTCCCCACTCTCCGTGGATTCAATCCGGGAACATGCCAAGAGAGGGTTGAGAGGGGGGAGGAGGGGGGGATGGGAGCACAGAGGGGAGGTGGGAAGCGGGGTGAGAGGAGGAAGAGTGAGGGAGGGAGTGAAAGAGGGGGTAAAGTATCTACAGAGGCACAGGAGTGAAAACCTTGCAGCTGTGTTGAAGTATCTTAGTCCGGACCGGCATGGAGAGAAAGACAGGGGACATGCGAGGGCGGATGAGTCGGCAATAGGAGGAGGGGGGACCGGAGCAGGAGGGTTGGAAGCAGGTTTTGAGGGGTTGGAGGTGGTGCAGGGAGAGGAAAGGCACCAGGAGCGGCAACATTGGAGCTTTCAGGAGAGGAGCAGGCAGCACAGTTGGAAAGACAGGCCTGAAAACTGGAGCAGAAGCAGCAGCAGGTTTGGCATGAGAGGCAGCAACACACAGGAGAGCTGTGAAGCGCAGGGGCACGGGAATGTGGATCAATGGAGGAACGAAGGAGGAGAGCGCGGAGAAATGGAGGAGCAGCAGCAGCAGCAGCAGCAGGTGCAGCAGGAGCAGCAGGAGAGGCAACACCCGGGATGGCTTTAGGTCCTGGTGTTGCGCTCTCTCCTCCCGTGTCTCCTCGCTTCCCCACACGTTGCATCCCTCTCGCACGCTCTCCCTTCGCCACCACCCCATCCCGGACGCCCGAACGGGTCCGCAGCCCTGCTGCCATGCAAAGGCATGCCACGGCTCCTGCAACGCGCGCCCCTCGCTCCCACTCCCCTCTGCCGCTCATCCGCTCGCCTCTGCACCTCTCACGCTCTGCTTCCCCACGGCAAAGCCAAAGCCGCAGCAAGGACGCTGATTCGCCTCTGCATGTGAATCAGCATCAGCGGCAGCAGCAGCAGCAGCAGCAGCGCCAGCAGAAGCAGCAGCAGCAACGCTCTAGGCATGAGAATACGCATGAGGCAGTTGGTCGGCCCATCTCGCCTTGCCTCCTTCCAGGTGCTGTGCCAAGAGCTGCCACTGCTGCTGCTGCTGCTGCCGCTGCTGCTGCCGGTGCTGCTGCTGCTGCTGCTACCCCTGGTGATGCTGCTGCTGCTGCTTATGCGTATGCTGCTGGTAATTCTGCCAGGTTGACTCAACGGCCCTCGTCCCAGCGACAGTCTGGCGCTCAGGAGGAGCTGGAGGACCTTGGCGAGTGGCATACTGCCACGCCTCTCTTCCTTCGCTCCCTTGAAGACAGGATGGGACTCAGCAGCTGCTTCCGGGCTAATCAATGGTTTGCTGAGCGGAAGAGGGAGATAGAGCAGGAAGAGTATGGGGAAGAGGAGGAGGACGAGGAGGAGGAAGATGAAGATGGGGAGGGGGATGAGGAGGGTAGGAGCGAGGAAGGGGAGGAGCGGGTGGGCGAGGAAGAGGAGCAGCAGTGGGAAAATGAGGGAAGGGGAAGCAGGAGTGGGAGTGAGGGATTTGAATTCAATATTGCTAATGGCAGAGAGAGTGCTGGTGTTGGTGATGCCGGTGCTGCTGTTGCTGGTGGTGGTGCTGGTGCTGGTGGTGCTGGTGCTGGTACTGGTGGTGCTGGCAAGGGTGCTGCTGCTGCCAGTACTGCTGCTGATTGTGGTCGTGGTGGTGGTGGTGACGGGGGAGTGGCGTCTCGTACATGGTCATTTCACGGGCGGTCATTGCAAAGAGGCTCGTCAAGTGGCGCATCAGTGTCACAAGAACCAAGAGGCTCCTTCAGCGGCAGGAGGCTGACCATGGTCCAAGCTGTGGAAACAGGCTCTGCTGCTGCTGCTGCTGCTGCTGCTGCTGCTGCAGCCTCTGCAGCAGCAGCGGGAGGTGCAGGTGCAGGAGGCAGGGGGATTGGGCGAGGTGGGGCGGCGGGAGGAGCAGCAAGAGTGGGAGGTGAGTGGCTGGGGAGGAGGGAGGGCGGTGTTCGGTCGTACGGGAGTGGCAGTTTCAGCTCGTGGCGAGAGGTCAGCTGCGACTTCCTAACAGATGATGGTGCCCTGCTGGTGTCTAGGGAGAGCGGCGCTGGTGCTGGTGCTGGTGCTGGTGCTGGTGTTAGGACGAGGAGGGGAAACAGTGTGGAGCTGAGGCGGGAGGGGAGTGTGGGATCGATGAGAGAGGGTAGTTTGGGGTTCAGGAGAGAGAGGAGTGCGGGACTGAGGAGGGAGAGTAGCATGGGGGCAATGCAGGAGTTGGATGGTGCTGGTGTGCGGAGGGAAAGCAGTTTCGGGTCATTCACGGAAGGCACCTCTTCAGCACGCTTCAGAAGCACTCCCGACAGCACGCCTCCTCCGTTCTACCCCACAACCGCTCACAATACTTCTGCTTTTGCCATGCAGCCAGCAGCGTTTCCCCGCATCATCAGCGGCAGCAGCAGCGGTAGCATCACTGGGAGGAGCAGCAGCGGCAGGAACTTTTCAGCAGCAGCAGCGGTGGCGGTGGGAGGAGGCGGAGGGGTAACCCCTGCACGGAGATCCCTATCGTCACTACCTGTTTCATGGGCAGGAGCTAGTCCTGCTGCTGCTGCTGCTGCTGCTGCTGCTGCTGCTGCTGCCGCGGCAGCGGCTGTGTCGGCCTCTGCTGGTGGTGCGTTTGGGGATGAAGGGATTGTGGCGGCTGCTGCTGTGGTCGCTGGAGTAGGTGCGGAGGGTACGGTTACGCAAGGGCCGTACGAGTTAGACGCTCGGTGGGATGCATTCAGGCATGCAAGTGCTGCACAGACCAGCATTTACCGCTCCTCTTCCACTGCCACTGCTGCTGCAGCTGCTGCTGCTGCAGCTGCTTCTGCTGCTGACACTGCTGCTGACACTGCTGCAATCCACTCTTCCAGGATGCACATGGCTTGGGCAGGCAGCCATCCTTCGCCTCCTATCGGCCTTCACCCAAGGCCGATGCACAGGAGCATGAGCGAGCATGTGATCATACAACCTGCCACTGCTGCTCCTTCTGCAAGCTCTCTTGGCACTGGCAGCAGAGGTTCATCGGCACGACTCTTCAGCACGCACGCGGCCCCACCCCTTCCACCGGCAAGCTTGCATCGAGAGGTGGTGCCGATTCGCTACGCGGCGGGAGCTCCTGTAACAAAGGGCGCGATTTACAGCAGCAGGAATGGGGATGGTGGGAGGGGCGGGTTTGATGGTGATGGGGTGATGCTTGTTCGTGGTGGCAGTGGCAAGGTGGTGCTTGGGCAGGAAAGGGATGTGGTGGATAGAGGGGGAGAAGATGATGATTATGATGAAGAGGAGTGGATGGGAGGGGAGTTGAGGAGGAACAGAACGGAGGGAGACCGCCGGAAGATGACGGTTAAGGCTGTGAGCAAGTGGGTATGAGAGGGGTACTGTTAAGTGATGACGCAAGGTGAAACTTCGTACACGGTACAATCCGTGGTCCATAATGGACCTAATTTGTTTCTTCGTTTTGACTTTAGGGTCCGTTTGTACCCAATATCTTAGTGTGATTTGTTACCAAATTGCAGGTAGCTAGCATATAAGGCGCGAAATTTTATAGCACGGCTTGGTTGTGTTGTCCATACGTTAGATCATTGGCATGAAGAATAAATATATAGAACGAGACCTTACTACAATACTACGAACTTCTGTTTTAAAGAGTCGCGGCACGTCTTAGCCTTCACTGTTGCAACGAACCCTATAGGGTGGTGGCACGGCACTCCACCTTGTAGCCGACATGATCAGCGTCTAGCCGACGAATTCGCCGCTCAGCGTTGAGAATCTTGCAAACGACAAAACTGCCTCCAGAAACGAACGAGGCTTCCGCAGACACCCCTACGAAGAGGCAGAATCTTCGCCACCGAACGCGAGGTGACCGTATAGGAATGATCCAG